ATCTTTCGAAAGAGCCTCTTTCGAAAGATCGCGTCTAGACTGCAGGCGGATCTTTCAAAAATCCGCTTTTTCGTAAGAGAGTACCCAGCGAGTCTGGATGCTCTCTTTCGAGGAAGCCCTATTTACATTGAAGAACACCTTCTTTCGAAAGAGGAACTTTCGAAAGAAGGCGTTCTTCCTCGTGAAACGAGGTTTACCGCCATCGAAAGAAAAGCTGCGTTCTTTCGAAATTATTTCGAAAGAACGCGGCTTGAGGCTGGACGCAGGGGAAGTTTTTTCGGGAAAAGGCTACTTTTCCCGAAAAAAACCCTGAGTCTGGACACAGCCATATAGAATGGGAAGCGACTGTCTAGGAAGGAGTACAGCAGAAAGGCATCAAGGGGTTATAGTGGACCACAAGCTGAATATGAGTCAGCAGTGTGATGCTGTTGCAAAAAAAAGCAAACATGATTCTGGGATGCATTAACAGGTGTGTTGTGAGCAAGATATGAGAAGTCATTCTTCCTCTCTACTCTGCGCTAGTTAGGTCTCAGTTGGGGTATTGTGTCCAGTTCTGGGCACCGCATTTCAAGAAAGATGTGGAGAAATTGGAGAGGGTCCAGAGAAGAGAAACAAGAATGATTAAAGGTCTAGAGAATATGACCTATGATGAAGGAAGGCTGAAAGAATTGGGTTTGTTTAGTTTAGAAAAGAGAGGATTGAGGGGGGAGATGATAGCAGTTTTCAGGTATCTAAAAACGTATCATGAGGAAGAGGGAGAAATCTTGTTCATCTTGGCCTCTGAGGATAGAACAAGAAGCAATGGGCTTAAACTGCAGCAAGGGAGGTTTAGGTTGGACATTAGGAAAAAGTTCCTAACTGTCAGGGTAGTCAAACACTGGAATAAATTGCCCAGGGAAGTTGTGGAATCCCCATCTCTGGAGATATTTGAGAGTAGGTTAGATAAATGTCTATCAGAGATGGTCTAGACAGTATTTGGTCCTGCCATGAGGGCAGGGGACTGGACTCGATTACCTCTCGAGGTCCCTTCCAGTCCTAGTATTCTGTGATTCTATGAATCTTTGATGTATTTATCAGAGCTGCATTTATTTATTAGAGAAAGGTAATCTGCCTCAGATTTGCTATTTCTAAATTTGGGTTTGTTCTAATTCAGAGGGGAAACCAAAAATTTCAAAATTTTCCTCAGTAAGGGATGGACCCCAATGCCAGGGTAGGCTTCCCCAGAGCTGTGTACCATAGAAATCTGGGTTCCTCATCAGCCTGTCACATTAACTACTATGGAGATAGGTTGGCAGAATACAGACAGATTTCTGTCACAGCTCTTCCTGATTTCAGAGGAACTTCATCAAAATCAAACTATCTCTGCAGAATGTTTTGATCTCAATAAACTGACAAATTCTGACAAAAACTCTTTAAATCAGAATTTTTCCAGTCAGTGCTAGCACAGTATTTCTCCTCAAAATCCTCCTATGAGGTAGGGCAGTGTTTTTATCCCCATTTTACAGATGGAGCACCAAAGCTCAAGAAGGTTAAAAATGAGCAGGCTAAGGTCAAACAGGAAGTCTCTGACAGAGCAGGTACTTGAGCATAAGTCCTAGAGAAGGTGCTAACTGCTGAACTATCCTTCCTCTCTGACGGTGATTGTGTTTTCTCTATTATTTTCCTAGATCTACCCATGAGTTGTATTACTCCAATCTTTAGTGCTGGTTATATGGGAAAAAAGGCAGGTGGAATGTTTATTAAGCAATTATACTGTGTCCTGTGCCCCATCCCAAGAACCTTGTAGCTCTGCTCTGTAAACATCTTTCCAGTGAAGGACTTGATTACTTACCTGGGTTTGAAGGGTTTGTCATACAGTTTTGATAAATATAGAACTATAAACTCCAAGCTCCTTGCGGTAGGAACTCTCTTTTTTTTTCATTCTGTGTCTGCACAGCACCTAGCACAGTGAGGTAATGGTCCGTGACTAGGGTTCTGAGGTGTTACCATAATATGAATAGTAAATAATAATAAAAGCAAGAGAATGGAAGGAATGCTTCTTCCCTTGCTATGGCGTAAAACAGGAGTAATTTTATTTAAGTTCATGAATTTACAGCTGGAAGGCAAAATGGTCTAGTGCAGTGGGCTCCAACCTTTTTAACCACTTGATCACTTTTTCAATTTAAGCGCAATGTAAGATCTACCTCAAACCCAAATACCCTTGCTCCACTTCCTTCCCCCCATTCTCTGAGGCCCTGCCCCTGCTCCATCCCTTCTCTGAGGCCTCACCCTGCTCATTCCATCCCTTCCTCCCCGAATCTCATTCACTTTCACCAGGCTGGGGTTGTTGGTTGGAGTGCAGGCTCTGGTCTTGGGCTAAGGGGTTCAGAGTGTGGGAGGGGATGACCTGAAGGTAGGGAGGTGTGGTGGTCTCTGGAGTGGACTAGGGGATAGGGAATAGGACACAGGGTCCTGGGGTCAATCCCACACCCCTCTGCCCACCCAGGCAGCAGCTGGCCAGTCAACACAGGCTGCTGCAGTGATGGACCTGGCTCTCGCATTAGGAAGGCAGGATGAAATACCTGCTTAAGATAGGGAAGTGGTTATGTAGAGAGTCATGGGCAGCACAGGCTTGGGAGGCGGCGTGACCAAGAGTGCTTCAAGGAAGAGCTAATTGGAAGTACAGATTAAACTTATCTGGTCTGGCAGCATCTGTGATTCAGCATGATTTTAGTTAGTTGGATGTCCGCTTATCCTGGGTATGGCCAAGTTTCCTGCAGTCTAGTAAAGTTTGTTTACAGCTGCCAGTCCTGGCTCTCAATGTTCTGTGCTATTATTTGTCTCTGATTTACCCCAAATGTCTTCTAAGAGCCCAGCAAGCAATGGATGTGTTGGTAATGCTGCTAAGCGTAAACACGGTATTTATGCTTTATCTATTTATTTCCTAGTGCCAATACAGGATAATTGTGTAACAACACTAACACTTCGTTATGAAGAGAGCTGGTGAGCCTTGGCTAGGCATAAGCTTATATAGGGTGCATCAGTTCAGTCATACATTATAAAGCAGCATTGTAAGCATTGTTCCCTTTATTTGCCTCAGCAAAATTAAAAGAAAGAGACCCACTTGCTACAATATTGACCTCTGATGGTCCAGCAAATTCTCTGGTTTGGTACCCATCAGGTCCCGAGGGTGCTAGACTAGCAAGGTTCAACATGTAGTTTAATTGAGCTGATTCTGCTCTTTCTCACATTGTCATTCCTTTGACTTCAGTACTAGCACTACGGGTCCTAGTTTTGGTTGCAACAAACCCTGCATTCACCCTCCTCCTGTTAAACCCATTCTCTAACTCTGTGCATCTATTTATAAGCATGTGCTTCCAAGCAAACCCCTCCCCCACCTTCATGGCTTTAGCTTCAGCCCATCAATCCTCTCCACTGTAGCTGATGACACATGATTCTGTGGTCTGGCTTGTCTGATTAGGGATGTAATAGTGTAGTTGTTTCACCGATAAGCAAAAGCTTATAGGTTAATGCTATAGACTACATGCATCCTTCACCCTCCCCCGCCCAAGTCAATTTTTTTTGCAGGCTGGTCAGCAACCTGGCTCAGTCCTGGCTTGCGATGGGTCCAAGACCTACCCCGCTGCATCTCTGCATTTCAAGTGTATTAGGAGCTAGGCTGGCAGTCAGCCCGGCTCAGTTCTGGCTCTAGCTGAGTCTGGGAGCAGACATGCCCTTTCTGGACAGGGGGTGCTGCCACCCTGTGCACAGCAGTGTGGGGCGGCGGGGAGCTGGTTTTTAAATCTGCTCCCCTTGCAGACCAGCTCCGCCTGTCACCCCACACTGCTGCCTCTAGTACAGAGGTAGCAGCAAGGAGTGTCAGAGGGCTCCTTGGAAGTGGGGCTGGAGTGCACTGGCTGCCAGCTCCACCCCCGGGTTCTATAGAGTAGTCGACTAACCAATAAGAATTCATGAAATTATTTGACTATTCAATTAACTGATATTTAACATCCCTATGTCTGATCAGGAAATGTATTATTAGAATCATAGCAATGAGAAATGGCTGATTTGTATTTACACTACATGCACCTCTCCTTTCTAAAAATCTCACCAAGTTCCAGTGTGACAGGAAAATAAAATTCAATTCAAAGGAGAAAGAGGCACAGAGGACTGTGTCAAATATTAATCAGTTGCAGAACAAGGATCAAATCCCATGCCTCTTGACTCCATCCTGAGCTTTAGCCATTAAATATATTTAAAATTTATTTGTAGTGTCTCTTCATTGTACAAATGATTTACTGATTCCCTGTCAACAACATTTGATCTTTAAGGACTGGTGTCAGCCTCTAAGAAGAGTGTGTCTCATGTGCTGAACAATGACAGGGGTGGAAACATTGCGGTGATTGTGATTGGAGGAGCAGAAGAGTCATTGGATGCCCATCCTGGAAATTTAACTTTGAGTATCTTCAAGAGGAAAGGTTTTATTAAAATGGCTTTGAAATATGGGTAGGTTTCCTACTAACACTGTTGGCTGTCACAGCACTTCTTGCAGTGTAAATACACAGTGTTAAATGGTGAATCTGACAAGGTTATTTATGCATTGCCATAGGATGCAGATGTCTAAAATAAGACTGAGAACTGATATTTTGATTAAAGCAGAATTAAGAAATAATACAGGAGCTATTGTGAAAGTCCTTTTACCGAAATAACTTAACAATAGATGGAGATATCAGAACTTCCATGGGCCTGCCAGTAAACAGTTTGTCCGAGTGATTCAGCAACTCAACCTAAGGAACTGGAAAATGTTACTACATAAAGTTTCCCAAGTTTATGGTAATAAACAAATTGGGAAACTTTATGTAGTAACATTTTCCAGTTCCTTAGGTTGAGTTGCTGAATCACTCGGACAAACTGTTTACTGGCAGGCCCATGGAAGTTCTGCTGACCATACCATTCCTCTACTTCTGAACACTACTGATTTCAAGGAGTATTTTTCTCTTTGACTTGATTTCCTCAAGATTTTAGGAGAAGAGATGTGGTAACCCTTAGGCCCTCATTCAGCCAAGCACATAACCACTTGCCACTGAGTTGAAGAATAGGAATGGATTTAAGCTAAAGTGCTTTGTAGAAACAGACTCATAATCTGGGGGCGGGAAGGGCACCCTTTTCTCTTAAAGATGACCCACAAAGTGGGGAAGGTAAAAGCCAAACATATAGATGCATTTCAGGCCTCCTTCATAAGTTTATATGGTAATTCTATTAATAATTTGTCTAACTAGGAGAAGCTATCAGAAATAGAGGTCAAGATTTATTCTCCTGCTCTGCATAAAGCTCCCATTTAAACTAATAGCAGCTCTGTGTGCTGCTTTGTGTCCTCATTCACAATGAGGAGTTGGCCAAGGCAGCTCACAAAACATCACTATTTAATTGACGCACAGAGCTACTGCTAAGGAGCCAAATCCTGCTCCCCTTGTCCAACTGCTGTGAAGATCAAGGGGAGTCTTTCCATTGATTTCAGTGAGAGGAGATCAGTTTCCCTAAGCACTTCATTAATTCCATTGCCTCTAATGTGTCTACTGGCAAGGACAGTTGATTCAAGATCATGCAAAAGTTGAATATAAAGTAGAAATATCATAAGGACACAGCACAAGCAGAGAGTAAACTAGATTCTCCTGAGTTTCACAACCAAAGCGCTATGTTACTAATTTCAGTGTATCAACCCTCCACAGGAAGTCTTTCAGATGAAAACAAAAGTGAGGATATTCACAAGGCATGTGGAGAAATGCCATTGTACCACAAGGTTTTACTCTTCATCATCACTAATGGTCTAACAAAGACTTGGCAGCCTAGAAATCCACTCTGTTTATAGAGCCTTCGGATGTTTCTTTCAGGGCAGCTGTGTGATGCAGAACTGTCACTGTTGAGAAAGTTACCTCTCAATTTTAGGCCATTCATACTCCATTCAAGGGACAAGGGGGAGTGATGTAGGGAATAGTATTTCTTATGTATCCCAAAGCCTCCTAAGCCACAGTCAGGTATATTTATTTCACACAAACCAGTGTTACTCAAAGTGCTCCATGAAACCGCTTTGAGGAACCTGCTAACTGGCTGCGCCGGTGTGTTTATTTACCGGCACCACAGCCACTTCCTGCAGCTCCCCTTGGCTGCACGTGGCAAACTGGAGCCAATAGGAGCCGCAAGGCTCTGTGGCCGCAGTGCTGGTCAGTAAACACACCAACACAGCGAGTTAGTAGGTTTCTCCAAGTGGTTTTGTAGAGCATTTTGAGAAACACTGACATAAGCAACTCATGATTATCCATTGTACACACCAGACATCTGCATCCTTGCTTCAGGAGGATTCATTTTCATTACTTTTATTAGTACAGTCAGCTGATGCATTCTGATTCTAAAATCTTCATCTTGACTAATCTTGCTGCAATAGTGCCATTTTAACAGCCATCACCATACAGATTGTCAAATATCTTATAAGATGATAATGCTTAGGAAACATAGTGATTGCCTAGGATTTTAGCCTTCTTGGAGGACTTCTCTGCTCCCATCCAGGGATGGGTTTGGTAGAGCCCTGACGTCTCCAGCAGGGGACCTTTGGATTAGTCCACCCTCCCTTTCCTCCCAGTTCCTGGCTCTTTCTAAGAGCCACATTAATTTATCAGACTGACACCTCACCTGTAGTAGCCAGCCAGGGCTTTCAATACAGGTTTCTCTGTTCACCCTGACAACAGCAGAACCATTGCCATTCCAATGCTTAGGATGTGGTAGATTTTGGGAAGTTTCTGCAGGTGTTATACAATCTTTTCCAAGCCAGAGATCCCCACTGATGAGAAGTTTCTGTACACGGAGGCATCCAGCCCCCATTTCATGGCACTTGTAAGATAAAAGGTGTTGTGAAACTACAACAAGCTCAATTGAATTTGATGGGCCAGACCCAACGGCTCTTTGTCACAAATAAGATTTTAGCAGTTGCAATAAAATCAGAAGAATGGGATTTCACTCTCTTTATTGGAAACCTTCCCATCCATTTGCTATTCTTTGAACACTGTGGAGGAGGCAGGAGATGACTATGATTTTTCGGGAGGAGGGAGTTGTAGTTTTGTTTTGTTTTTTACTAAATATTGTACCTCCCTCCAGCGGCACAAGGAAGCATTTCAGCTGAGAGTTGAATACATTATGCAAATTAGGGATGTTAAAAGGTAACCATGTAACCACTGAAAAATCTCAGTGGTTACACGGTGCGGGCTCTGCAGTATAAACATTAAAAAATAAGCTTCATACTGCAGAGCCTGCAGCGAAGCCTCCCTGGGAGTGGAGCCGGCAGCTCTAATCCACTGAGTTCCCAGGGAAGAGACTTTGCTGCCTTGCCACAGTAAAACTGTCTCCTTCGGAGGTGCTGAGTGTAACCGACACCATTAACTGAGAAGCATCCGCTTATTAGCTAAACAGTTAGTTGGTTACACTCTTAACATTCCTAATGCAGATACTGTTGAATTTTATAGGCATCAATTAAATTATCTGCATAGATTGATATGACTCATTATGCTGTTGAGGTGAGTTTCACGTCATGATTTGTTGAGTGCTCTGTGATTATTTACTCTCTTTACTTTACAGGGCTCACTTGGTCCCAGTGTTCTCTTTTGGTGAAAATGAACTATTCAAACAAGTTGAAAATCCCAGAGGATCATGGCTCAGAACTTTACAGGAAAGACTGCAAAAGATTATGGGTTTTGCCTTGCCAGTGTTTCATGCTAGAGGAATATTTCAGTACAGTTTTGGCTTGATGCCTTACCGGAAACCTATTCACACGGTTGGTAAGTGATTCCTGTCATTTTTATAGGAATGCTTAAAATGTCTGATTTGTGGTTAAATTCAGTAGTCGTGTTCTGTTACAAATGGGCTCTGCCAGAAAGACCTGGCTGCTGTGCATCTAAACACAAGCAAGTGAGGTTTGAAATAAATGTTTGTCTTTCCTAATGTCTTTATCCTGTTGCGTTGGCGGGAGGAGGAAATAAAGGCAAAAGGCTTTATAAATAATTTATACCAACTGGACCACAATAAGCAATTACAGTAGATTGATACAGGAAGAAGAACTTTGCATCAGCCACAGCTGGGTGTGTGGGGGGGCGGGGGGAGCTCCATTTGAACAACAGAAGGGGAGCGTCTCTCTTTAATCTGTGGCCAAATCCTCATTGGACAGCCCAGCTGAGACAGCTGAGTGCTCAGGAATTCCTAAGGAAGTCAGGGGATGTTCCAATCTAGTGAAGAGCAGTGGAGCATCCTCACAGCCTTGCAATTTCATCTACACTGCAGTGCTACTTTGGGATACCAGAGGTATCCTAAAATAACTACCCCACGTCATTAGAACACATCTGCTATTGCGAAATATAGCGGATGCACTATTTTGGCTTCCCTGTAAACCTCGTTGCATGAGGGATAAGTGATGTCTTGAAATAATGTTTTATTTTGAAATTTGGTGCTGTGTAGATGCACCAAATTTCAAAATAGCCTATTTCGAAAAAGAATTGAAAAAAAAATATGCAATTTGCACAGCGCAAATTGCATATCTTATTTTGAGCTAAGGGTGCAATGTAGACGCACCCTAAAACTCAGCACCAGGAATCAGCAAATTTGGGTGCCACTCCTGGTTTTGCCATTGATATGTTGGTTGCACATCGGCAACTCATTTAATCAGTCAGTGCCTTGGTTTCCATACCTATAAAATAGGAACTGGAATGCCAGTAATATTTGTAAAATGTTTGGAGATCTGGTGAAAGGTAACAGTATTAAAACAAATGGCCTAAACTAGTAAAAATGCCTATTGCTTCCATACTTTTGGCTAACATTGAACAATAATTTTTTTAATGCTAAAAAAGATTCAAAGGTCTTGTTTCACAAAGTAATGACATGAATTTTTTAAAAAATCACGTGGATAGAAAGCCAGAGAATTTCTTTTCTAGTGCTGTTAGTAACACACCATCATATATATAGTAGCCCAATGTCTGAGACTCTGTAATGCTGAAATGCTGGCTGTTCCCTCTGGGCAGCGCTGTTGCCTCCCTGGCTGTTCCCTCTGGGTGGCGCTGTTGCCTGAGTCATGTTGTTTGCCTCCCGCTGTGGCGCTCGGCTGACTTCCGTGCAATTTTCTTTTGAAATAATGCAATTGCTGTGTGGACACTAATATTGTTTTTTCTGAAATAATGGCCATTATTCTGGAATAATGGTGCAGTGTAGATGCACGCTGAGACTCAGGCTGTCTGCACTGTGAGTCAGTGTGATTTCCTGTGCTCATGTACATGTGTACTAGCCCTCAGGCTGTGTCTAGACTACATGCCTCTGTCGTTAGAGGCATGTAGATTAGACACATAGGCAAAGGCAAATGAAGCCGCGATTTAAATGATCGCAGCTTCATTTACATTTACATGGCTGCCGCGCTGAGCCGAC